TCTAACAAATCGAAAACGGATATTTTGTTCTCTCACGTGTATTGCAAGGGACCGAGAATCTGGAACGAAATTTTAAACAGTGGATTTAATTTTGAATTTATTTCGTTAAACAATTTTAAAAAAAAGTTAAAAGAATATTTACTTAAGTTTAAAACATAAATTTTTTGTTTTTGAAATTACGTTTAAATTCTGTTGAAAACTTATAACATTTTAAAAATTATGTCAAGGTGGTCACACTCGATGAGTTTCTGAAAAGAACTCTACTGTGGTCATCCTGTCTTCTTCTTATTGATATAAAGGGGAGAGAATTTTTTCTCTTTTTTTAGATTAATTTTGAGAAGCAAATAAAAATTCGTTTCGTTTCGTTTTAATATCCAGTACTTCTTGGGCTAGCGGTTCTTTGACAAAAATTACAACACCATTTTTGGCCGTCTTTTGACTATTCGGTTTTGTTCAAATGCTGACGAGATAAATTGTTAATAACCACAATAAAGACATAGTGATGGCCCCGCAAGCCATGTTTTAAAGGGATATAAGGCTGTGATTGAAAAAGGTGCAGTCAGGTTTCTGATGATGCTTTGGTAAGTGTGCTAAAAAATAATGCGCAAGATGTGTGGACGAGCACTTTTTTAAATTTAAAAGTAGTGAATATTTAGTTAATTTTCATCAACGGGATAATGAATAGTTTCAATGCCAACTCTGCTGTTGAGAACGATGATGTATGAAAAGAAATATATGAATTTAAGTAACTTAGTGCTATTTTAAGCTATTGAAACTTGTAAGTTGCATCTTTCAATGAACTTTTTAATTTTTTGAGTTTATTTTTTTCAGCTTTAACTTTCCTGGTTGAGTCAGGCTACTTGTTAAATTTTTCTAAGGACTATGGTCACTTGAGTGATTGGTATTTCATTGACCTGCAATGGCTTAGCAAATCACTTTTTACTTGTTTGTTTTTGCAAGTTAGTTTTGAAAAGTCATTTTTCGTACAAATTTGAGTTGATTTTGTTGATTTTATTAAGAACATTCAACTTAAATACTAATGTTTTTGTTAACTTTATTAATTTTATAAGGACCATAAAAATTGTCATCGAGTTTGTTAACTAACATATAATAATAATTTTTATTTAAGTCTACAATTTTAATTTGAGAATTAGAAATATTTATTTGATGCACTTGTCTAGTCAATATTTGTTAATTGTTTTAAATATGAATTAAAAGTAATAATATTGAAATAAATTCAGCCGATTTTAAAAGAAAATGAAGAAACTGTTACTGGAATATATCATAAAAATGAACTGAGGCAAATGTTCAATTTGGATTGCATTTTTAGAAAACACCACATTCAATTCTTGCATGATTTGCAACTGCTTTTGGCTTTTGGTGTTATTTATAAGCTATATAAAGATTAGTAAGTATTTGGAAATTTGTTGAGGTTTTACAACATCTATATAGTTTTAAATTATGGTGATATTTTTTGAACTGATTAATTGATATCTGTTGCTAGTTTATTGGTTTCTTTTTACTTTTCAAAAATTCAAAAATGTGATATAATTAATCAGCTAAAATTATTTAGAATTAACAAAGCAAAATGTTTAAAATTATCGTGGTTGAATTTTCTAACTGATTTCATGCTAATTTTTCAACCTATTATGCCAGCAATACAAATTGCTGTATATTTTTTTTTATAAAATCAATTGTGATTTATAAGGTATTTATATATATATATATATATATATATATATATATATATATATATATATATATATACCTTATATATATATATATATATTGTAGTTAAAGCTTTCTCGTAATGTTCTTTCAATATTCTCATGATACTAGATACAAGATGAACGAGTTAAACGTTTGACAACATATTTCTACTGATATTAAGATAGTTTTCAACATTTTTAATGAATATTGAAACGAATAATTGTTAATGTTACTTTAAAAGTTATTTGGTGTCAAAATGCATTCCCATTGAACGACCTTTCGCGAGTGAATACGAATCTCTACCTTCCAGTACTAATATATTCACGAGAATTTACAAGATGATTTTCGTGCCACAAACTATGATAAAAAATCTGTTGGTGCAGTTATTGAGTTGGAAGTTAGCTTATGAAAATGAACATGTGAATTGTTTAATCAGGAACACTTTGCAATCTTCACAAATGTTCGTTAGTTTTCGACACTTAAATGATAAATTGTATTGATGCTTTGTTTTCCATAAAAATTAATATTACGTTTTTTTATTAATTTTTATATTTAGAACCTGCTGTCTTTTAATTAATATTTGAATTGTATTTGTTTTTAGATTTTATTTTTTCGAATGTTTTACTCTTTAACACTAGAACAGCAGACCGTAAATGCGTCTTCAATTAATTTTCCCGTGTACCCGTTTGTTATTTAACGTTTGATATTTTATGACTTTTACTATATTTTAACAATATGTTAAAATTAATTTCAAATACAGCATAGTTTTAGCTAAACAAAGATTGATTGATTGATAATTAATAAAATTCAAGAATTTATTTCCACAATCTTCTGTAAAAATTTAAAACACTGCCAAAGGTTATCTTCTAGCCCCAGATTTACAAATCATTTGCCTAGCTATAGATTTCATTATATCTACTCCAACTTAGTTATAATTGTATTACAATTTACTTTCGGGCATTCTTTTATTTCCCTCAATCGATGACATGAGAACAACATTTTTTTAGATTGAAATTTAACTAAATAAATTCTATCAGATTTTTTCATTTGACAACGTAATATTTTTTCTAAAACCGATTCTTTTTTAGCCAACAACATTTTATCAGATCCAATGATGTAGAAAAAATCTATTGTTATATTATTGCTTTTATTGAAGTATGAGTCATCACAACATGTGTTTCTAATGAACCAATGTGTTTTACATCTGTACCCAAATACGGTTTTATTTTTAAACAATGTTTTGTTTTATAGCCACCTAAAAAATGAAATGTTATTCCAAACTCATCTGACTTATTAGGCATTTATTGAGTTTTTGGACATTTGGTTTGAGAAGGAAACAACAGATCATCAACTGTCAATGAGTAATTTAATATGAATGCCTTCTGAATGTTTTTATTGAGCCAAAGAATCCAACTGAACATAATGAATTTATTTATCATGGGCAGTTATCTACTTTCTTTTAGATTTTTTATCAAACTTTATGAATCTTTTGATTTTTTTTTCAAATCTTGTCTTTTCATTGCAGAATTAAAAACTTGACGAACATAATTCTTAGACCAATCAAAAAACACTGAATTGATCATAATCAATTAAGTAAATTTACTTAAATTAATTATCAAATTAATGTAGGTGGATTGATCAATAAAGAAAAGCATAAATAACAAAAACATATGCAAACTTTGACCCATTTGGCTGTTATAGATATAAATTTTTGGCAGTTCTAGTGTTAAAAAAGTATTATATATTGATCTGTTCTCATTGTTAATGATAATTTCTCATCCTGTATTAAGAAAGAGGGCTTGAAGGATGATAAAAAGTTTTCCATTGCATAGCTTGGTCTTGAATTGTCGAGAGGGAATGAAGCTGTAAATTTAGTTAGGAATGAGAAAAACAAAATTTTTCAAGCAATGGAAGAAAGATTTAAAAGGATTAAATGTATTTGCGAATGTACGTGCGTCTAAATAGGTGAAGTAATTGAGACGATGAAGTAGATAAGAAAGATGAATTCGAAATAAGCTGTGAATAAAGAACGAAAAGGTTGCTAGTTAGTCAGGAGTTGGATTAAGATGCTTATGTAGTTGAATAAGATACAGCAAAGTTGGCAGACTAGTTTAATAAAATGATCTAGGAAAGAAAAATAACGAAAAATTCTGAGAACTTACCTGTATTTAATAAAGGAATGACTTTTACACCACCAAACAAAGAAGTCGGAGTTTTGAATGCTAAAATTTGTAACGACAACATTGGTCTGAAAGATTTAATGGAAAAATATGATTTAGGAAACAGAAATAAATAAGGAGAAAGATGACTTAAATATGCCAAAAATCAAAAAATGTATGCAACGAACTCCCAAAACAACAACAAATTGATATGGAAATTACTAGAAGGGAAACGATGAACATGATAAGTTTGGTGTTAATACAAGTGAATAAATGGATAAAAATTTTTACACAATACAGAGCTTTTTATAGGATCTGATCATCCTCTTGCGTCAGGCCATATATTGATACAGATAAAAATAAACCAAAATTGAATGAAAGATATTGACAGTGACAAAAAACACTGACATGATGAAGTAAAAATTGATAAAGAAATTAAATTAGGAATAAATTGAAACTCACAGCCAGCTGTGTCGTGCGAAATTATATTATAGTATTATGAATCGTGACTAACTTTATAAACATAGAAGAGAGAATAATTTGAATGTCAACAACAGAAATTGACGAAAATGGAATGAAATACAAAAAGTTGGGTCGCAAAATTAAAAAGAATGTAAGAGCAGATAAGAAACGGTAGAAAATAATGAATGCAAAATGTTTACGCACTGATTGGACAAATTGAAACATAGGAAAATAGAGGCTAGATGATAGCTTATTTGAGTTTTTAGCGAAAAAAATTATCGCAAAAATGAAATGCTTGAAGCTTTGATAAATTGAAAAATTGTTGACGAAGAAGAAATTGGAACAACCATGAAGAAGAAATAATCAATCTTCGTTTTGCGTCCAGAGACCCGGTTTTCCGAGGGTAGGAAGTTGTTTTCTTTGCCATCAACTTTTTGCGCCAAATTAATTAGACTTTTGTATGTTATGAGATGATAAACAAAACCCGTGACTTTCAGCAAACTCAAGGATGCGGTTGCCATCTTCATTTCGTTTTCCATAGCCAAAACCGCCATGCTCGGTAAAGAAAAACCCGTGACTTTCACAAAACTCAAGGATGCGGTTGCCATCTCCATTCCGTTCTCCATAGCCAAAACCGCCATGCACGTTATCAAAACCATCTTTTTTCTCTCCAACGTGGCCATTGAGATCGCCTCCAATCAGGATTGTTTCAGATTTTGGTATTGTTGAGATAGTGTCAGAGAATGCAGTCCAGAAGTCATTTTTCATCTCTTCTGATTCGCCTGTCTGTGGTGCGTATGCAGAAAAAATAATCATTGTTTGCTTTTCTATGCGAAGCTTGATCCACATGAGACGTGAATTAATCCTTTTAATATCTAGTACTTCTTGGACTAGTGGTTCTCTGACAAAAATTCCAACACCATTTTTGGCCGACTTTTGACCATTCCAGAATAGTTTATATTTTTCTTTGTCTGAGTTGACATGACAAACACCATTCGATTTCCAACAGGTTTTCTGAAGGCAGCAGATGTCAATTCTACGCTCGAGCATTTCTGCGATTTCCATGCTGCGGCCAGTCAGTGATCCAACATTGTGCGTTCCAAGTTTAAGTACCATAAAGGAGCCATTCTAAATTTTTCTGCAACATCCCTCCGCTATTGCATACTTCCCAGGGATTCTTGGCACCCCTTGACCACTTAAGGCCTGCTTGGGACTAGGGGCCGTTGTTTTTATTTGTGATGGCATAAGAGTAATTTGGGGAAAATTTTTACATCCGGACACCCATCCTGACGACAACCACCAGTTATAAACGGTGGGCCTAGCCTTTCGCTCAAAAGCACGCAAGGCAGCGTGGATGCAGTTTTATGTCATACCCAGGACCAGAAGAAGAAATAAAAATTAACAATAAAAAAGAAGAAATAAAATGAACATTAAAAAATGAAAATCAACAAAAGTACAGAAAAAGATAGAACTCCAATTGTTTTTTATAAAATCAAAGAGACCATTTGTTTTTAAAGAAATTTTGGAAAACGGTAAATGGCCGGAGGGATAGTGCCAGTTAATCATGGTAATATTACCAAGTGAAAGTGACTGATTAAGGTGCCAGACACTGCCGCTCGTGAAATATCATAAAAATAAGTATTTTTATAGGCTGCATAAAGCTCTTGTGCAAGAATTTTTTTTATAAAACATTGTTATACCCGCTGAAATAATCAAAATGCTATTTTGCAAATTTCGCTATATAATAAAATTTTCAGTGTTTCGATTACTGTTTAAACGTTTAAACAGGTCTGTGTTTGAAGAGTTAAGCTATTCTTTTAGAAATCAGTGAACCTAAAATAGATTGAATAATTTGACGATCGAGCAAGTTACATGATATAATAAATGAACCCGCAAACGTTTTTGTCAAATTTTCGATCTGTTGATTGATAGCAATATTTAAAACCAATCTTTTTTTATCTTTTGAAAATATAGATTTTGTTTGATAATTAGATAACAATTAGATATCAACTTAGATAACAAATTTGTTAAAATTTTCATCGCTGATAAATTTTTTTGAATCGATAAGAAAAATTGATGACGTCCTGTATTGGGAAAACGGAATATTATTGAAAACAAGCTCATCATGTTGTCTTTCAATTGAACGACTTGTCATTCCACATGCGGAGTCAATTTCGATATCAGATGACAAAGATGATGGTGAGCAAGATGACATTTTAAATGAAGCTCTTGTCGTTAGAGCGTATCATTTGAAGGATGCGAAAAAACTAGTGAGTAATGATAATGGTAGTGTCGAAAATGATGATGAAGATGTGAATAAGAAGCATGTTGTAGACGATACAAATATGGTGCATACTCTTCACATTTTATTTGCACTTGCTATCGACTTCATAAATGATCTTATTGAACAAAACTACGCAGGTATATTTGAACATTTTTTTGAGTTGTTAAAATAATATTTATTTTTTATCAACTTAATCAATATTGGCTAAAACTGCTTTTTTATTACTTTGGGAAATGAAATGACAGATGGATCATTTTTGTTTCAATATTTGATAATATTGGTCTTGTTGATGTTGACAAATGGGTTATGCTCAAACAACTTGAGTGCCAAACCAATATTTGACACATTGGCCGCTGGCAGCTGATATCTAAAATCAATGTCGACCCTATTTGTATCGATAATAATCACATTGATAATAATAAGTCATCATTGATACTAATCTATATTAAACGGTTTATCAAAGAATGCTCTTGTCAACTTTTCTTTCTACAAAATGTAAAAAATCACTAGATTTGTCAACGCCTTCAGGTTCTCATACGTTCGCTTGTCTTTTCTATGATTGACTATTGCTAGTTGCTACAGTCTTTTTTTGGTCTATCTAAAAAACCTCTTAAACAACGTCAGTTTATTCAGAGCCGTGCCGCAAAGTTAATTTCTAGTGGACTGAGGTTCGACCATGCCACACACATTCTAAAAACTCTACATTGGCTTACGGTGAAAAATCTCTATCGTGATGCGTAAATATCATGGCACCAGCAAACGTTATAAAAAGGTCTGTGATTCATAATCCACAATTACAGGCTGTGTTCTCAGCACAGACCACTTCTTTTTCTTTCTCTCGCTAAATTGATTTTTCGTACCCGCAACTTTGCAAATGTTTGACCTGCCGTATGGAACAATTTGTCATCTAATTTCCGTGCATGTAGGGATCTGAAAATTTTTTTGTTAATATTATTATAAGAAGAAAGGCTTGGGCAAAGCCCATTGCCCAAAACTGAAATAACATAATAAAAATAAATCAGAACGAATTCCAATAAAAATTAAAGAGTCATTGTTTAAGACAATTATCAATGTTTGAAAAAAATGCAAATTCCGAAATTTGATTATTACAGGTATGTACATTTGCAAATAATTTATAATAAACATCAGGCACAAGACAAACTAAAATTAAAATATTGAATATTTTGCGTCACCATAAAATAAGTTTAGTTATTTTTAAAAATAGCCAATGATGGAGCATTAAAAATATTAGCAATGCATTCCATGGGCTAATAACTCGATTCGAGAAAAAATATTTCCTGCAATCTTTTCTGGCCAGTCGAGTACACAATCTGAGCTGATGACCCCTGGTGTTGACATCAGCCCTACCGCAAAACTGAGGGCGAATCGCAGGGTCCAACATGCCGTGAAGCATTCTATATACCAGGATTAAATCTCCTCTGATTCTGCGGTACTTAAGGGAAGGGAGGTTAAATTTCACCAACCTCAAACTGTATTCCAGATTTTTACAGGACTTTGGAATTTTGGTAGCTCTTCTCTGAATTTTTTCCAATTCATTTATTCCTTTTCTACATGGACACCAAACTTGAACAGCAAATTCCAGTCGTTAGCGAACCAACGACTTGTAGACACAGATGAAAGCTTCGTCAGACAGGCAACTAAAATTTCTTGATAGTATTCCTAACATGGAGTTAGATTTTTTTATTTTACTCAAAACATGCTCTTTAATTTGGAGGCGATCATCCATTACCACATCCAGGTCAGATACACTCTTCACCCTTGGCAAGGCCTGAACTACATCATCTGAATCAGTGATAAAATATTCCCTTGAGAAACATCTGCCTATTGTCAACAAACTGCATTTACTGACGTTAGCCTTCAAACTCCATCTGTGGAACCACATCATTACATTATCCAAACAACCTTGCAACACCGCCTCATCCTGTGGAACAGATATTGAACCAAATATCTTTGCATCATCTGCATATAAAAAGATATTGTTGTTGTTCATTGAGTGAATCTCGTTGATGTAAATCACAAATAAAAGTGGACTGAGTACTCCTTTGGGGAACACCACTAGCAACAGGTTTAGCACTTGAAAGTTGGTCATTTACTCTAACACGAAACGTTCTTTCCCTAAGATAGCTTTCTATCCATTTTATTATCTTTTTCTGAACTTTATATTTTTTTAATTTGGACAACAGCCTACAATAAGAAATTGTATCAAAAGCTTTCTCCGAATCTGTATAAACAATATCTGTACTCATACCTGCTTCCAATGACGCCGTTACCTCATCAACGAATTTCAAAAGCTGTAATGTGATTGAACGAGGTTTGTTAACAATAGGCAGCAGTCCCCCTGACCCATGTTGTCTGTCTGTGAATAGATGGTTGCTTAAAAAATAATTTTTAATATGATCAACTATAATTGATTCCATTATTTTGCACCATATTGACGTTAGTGCAATTGGTCTGTAATTGGTTGCCAAATTTTTATTACCTTTTTTATGGAATGGTACCACCAGAGCTGTCTTCCAATCACCTGGAATATCACCCGTATTTAATGACCAATTAAACAGCTGAACAAGTAACTTGGATAACATATCTCTTGATTCAAACAAAATCCTAGGATGAACCCCGTCAGAACCTGGTGACTTGTTTCGATTTATTTTTTTAAGTTTATCATTTACCATCATCTCATTAATATTCAATTCCTGCATACCACCTTCAGGAAGCAAAGGGCCATTAAAAGTTCCATCATCTGTAAATGTAATCTGCTAAAATTTCAGCTCTTTCTTTGTCATCCGAAACCAGCATGCCATCATGCAGCAAAGAACAAATCCCATCCTTGATAATCGTAACATTTCTCACTTGTTTCCAAAACAATTTGGGGTTTGATTTGAAACCCTTTGCAATTTCGTTCAAGCGTTGTTTATGTAAATTTTTTGTTATCTTTCTTATCCTGTCTCTTAACGACCTGAACAAATTCCAACAATTGCTGCCATATCTGTAAATTTTTTTCCATAAGACATGTTTCAGCTTTATTAATAAACGTAGTTCCGGAGTCATTTTAAACGTACGCTTTTTACAGATTTTTCTTAATGGGACGTACTTTGCAGTTAAACCAAGAATTAAATTCCTAAACGAGGTCCAGAGCGCTTCAACCGACGATCCAGGATGCAAATCAAGTAATGCGGGCTGAGCATTATTAAAGTCGACATTTAAATTAGAATAATCTCCACTGTCGTAACAGAATTTTTTAATATCCGAATGTTTTACCGCATGGAAGCCACATACCTCAATAGAAAGAACCCGCTCCCACTGGTGCCAAACAGGATATGTTTTTAATGATATCCACATCAGTGATTACCAAGTCCAAAATGTAGGGATGCTATGTACCACGAGCTCTGGTGGGTTGATCAATATGCTGTTTCAAAAAATTACCATTGATGAAATTTAAAAACATATTATCTATTCCTGCAGGTGGGCCTGTTGAACCCTGAAAACCCCAATTGATATCCGGTAAATTAAAATCACCAAGTATAAGATGAAAACCAGGCAACTTTAAAAATTCATCAAGCAGCTGTAATAATAAAATATTATAATATTACACTATTACACTAAAATAATATAATATTACACTATCATATTGTCAGAGCTTCCAGGACTACGATACAGAGACAGAACATTTAATTTTATTAGTTTCGAAGACAGCTGAACACAGATATATTCGTGAAATGATGATGATAAAATTAATTCAGTGATGGGAAGATCATTACAGAAATAAACCAGCAAACCACGACTATCCTTGACAGCAAAACCTTTTGAAATTATCTGGTATCCATTTAATTGAAACTCAGATAGACTTGGTGGGATTTTGTAATATTTAGGATTAACTTCATTTAAAAAAATTAACTTGGGAACACTTCTGCAAGAATCTAATAAAAACTTTAATTCCACAAATTTGTTTGTCAAAGTATCCACATTTGCATACAAAATCATAAAATCATTGATTACTGTTGATTACTTGACTTGTTCCTAACTGAAAATTTTTCTTTCTATGAGCCACAGCATAAAAATCACCTGGATGACCCTTTATAGAAAAAAAAAACAAATTTGTTCATGTCTTCTGTTGAAGATATACTATTCTTTTTTTCAGATATTAATTTCTTGCATTCTTCTCTATCCTTTCTAATCAGGTCATGGGAAATTATAACTTTTTTGAAAGATGTATTATCTTTTAACTTGAAGCAACTTTCCAATATTTGGTTCTTAATAGAATAGCCGCTCAACTTAATTAAGAGTGGCCTGGGTCTTTGGTTTTCTCCAGTTAATTTACCCAATCTAAATCAGTCTGATATCTTTGCTAATATCAGTTCCAGGTAGCAAAGCCTTAAAAAGGCCAGACATTATCTCCTTATCTTTTGCTTTCGAGAAATGACTGTTTTCCACAAGATTGAAGACAATGATGTTATTTTTTCTTGCATTCTTTTCATTAAAAATGTTAATTTTTGAATCAGTAGAAGCAACTGAACTGGCAACTGACTTAATGTCATTTGCCATTAAATCAACTTTTTTTGCAAAAAGATCACACCATTTTTTAACATGCTCCACCTCAGCAAATTCACTTGAAGAAGATTGTTTAATAGTTTCAACCTCATTACTCAAACGTTTTAAGTCCTCAAGCTGAACATTTATCTGGGCTTCTTTCATCTGAATCTCCTCCATCATGTCCCTCAACACATTCAGCTTGCTATTAACCTCAGCAAATTCATCCCGAAATTTTTGAGAATCTTTCATACTATCGCCAAGGTTGACGAAAAAGGAACTATTTTCTGTGTGACATTTTTCACAGAGTTTTAACCCAAAATCCTCTGACTCTGAAGCTCTATCTGCCACCTGCCAGAGTCTAATGGCTAATCCTTTAGGGTTAGGGTTAGCCATTCTCTATCTTCCGTTGGCCAAACACAACAAAACTTGAAAATTATTAATTAAATAAATCTTTTTACACTGTTAATAATTTTAAATTTAAATTATTTTGACTCAAAATTAATAAATTTACCAAAAAAGTTAATCTTTTAAAGAACACGTTCCGAACGTAAGTTAAGTCACCAACACATCTCAATAGTTATGCTCAGTGACCGTTGATAAAAGAGTGCTTTTGAGTTATTTAGATTATAATAAAAGTAATAATAATAATGATGATGATAATAATAATAATACAGCAAGACATAACATAAGAATATGAGTGTAGTTTGTAGCAAAATGTTTTAAAATTAATGCTCGAAAAATCATGACAAAAGAAAAGATTGATTTTTTTAATTTTAAAACTTTGTTGATAGGTCATTATTTCTGCACCAGAAGAAATTGTCAAGATGGCTATTTTGTGGTAGTGTTATCCCAACCACTCGAAGTTGTAAAAAGTTTAGTTGCTTTGATGTTGATGTTGTTGTTGCCCCTTCACGACCACCTATCCATTGGACAGGCGAAGCCTGAGCCAATCAGCAACCGCAGTTGGGTTTTGCCACAGGTCTATTGTCTTGAGATTCGTAGGATTGGCAGGACAGGAGATGAGATGAGCCACGTCGTCTGCGTGCGTGTGACAGTGAGGACACATATTACCTGTACCGCCATCGATAATTTCCCTGAAACTGCCTAGGATGATACTGTGGCCAGATCGGAGTTGGGCCAGAGTTCTTCTTATTGCCCGAGGTAGAGATTTCTTTGAGCTGTCTATTTGTGGTTGTGGAGGGGACCATCCGTTAAGCAGGATCGGCGCGTGGTACGCCTCCGCAGCGGCCTTAGCAGCCATGCCATGTAAATACCGAATAGCCATATTGATACTTGTACTATCCGAATTAGTGTATAAGATGGATCTGACTGTGGCTCCCCATTTTGACATCAGAGTGTTTTTCATCAAGGGGGAAGTTCGGCTGACAACAATCTATGGTATAGATGTTGAGGGTCGAAACATTTTGTGATGAATTGTTTTGACAGTAGATCTGTATGCTGTTTTATCGACAGCAACTGGCACTCGGACAGTAGATGCTTCTCGGATGCGATTTTGTGACAGCCAGTGACTATTCTCAGTGCAGCATTGCTTTGATGTGTTCTTGTTTGGTAAGATAAACACAAAAGAATTAGTTTGAAACACTTTCTGGAAAAAAAACTTTTCAATTGGTATTTATCGGGATAGACTTTGCTACTTGTTGCAAAATTTACTTAAAATTCATAGAGGTAGTTTTCTGATTTGCCGCCAAACATTATAGTTGTTGAGTGACCAGTTTTATTTCCTTTTCTAAATTTATTTATTTAAAATATGTTCCAGATTTTGTTGCTATCATTTATGTATTTTTTAAAGGGTGTAATGTAATAATGTTTTTTAAATTATATATTTAAATTGAATAAAATAAATAATTGAGAGGTGTGATGGTTCATTGATAAGTGCGCCAGGTCTCTTCTCGCATTAATCTGCGTTGGGTGCAAAACGATATCGGCCCTTTGTAATTCACGCATCTGCCTATTTTATGTCTTCAAGAACCGCTGAGATTGAGATCGACGATGTTAATTCAAACAATAGTTGTCAGTTTTTTCTTTCAGTTTTTTCATTAATTAAATAATTAATTATAAAATTAAAGTAATTAATTAATTATTGTGAAGTTATATAATTAGTAGTTAATTAATTATTAATAATTAACTATCTTCTGATTTATTATGTAAAATCATTTGATAAATTGAAAATTGCATACAGTTTTCACAAATGCTATGTATTATACGTACTGACAGAACTGCTGGATAAGGATTGCTACATGGATATTATCATACCCTGTCCGCATTGTTTGTCGTTACAAAACAACTGCTTGTCATCAAGTTTCTCATCTGAAAGTTGTTTCTTTAAAATTTTTGATTGCATCAAAATCATTCTATGCTCAAATTCACTCGAAGACCTGTTTGTGCCTTGTGTTAATAACCCACATTTGGAGATCAGTTTGATAATATTGGTACCAGATTTGTTGTTGTTGGATCTTCCCAGCAAATTTCATCTAAACCACGAGGAGCTGCCTGCATTCAGTAGTGAAAACATTCTGGGAAGAGGTGGAGAAGGTATTGTTTACAAAGGCGAGTGTCAAGGGCAACCTGTGGCTATCAAAAGAAGTGAAATAATCAACAGATGGAAAAACTACGTTTCAAACAAAATCGGGTCATTGGCATCTGATGTTTGGGTTGTTACTGAGAAAATAAGAAAATGCAGTACCAAATTAAAGAGAAGTTTTTCGTTCACCAATTACGATAAATGTTTTATTTATGCAAATAATGATAATGACTATGAAATGCGGCATTTTGACGGCAAATTTAGTAAAAAAATTGTCCAAGATTGTCAACTATACGATTGCACAAATAAGTCAGTTACCACTCAGCAAAATTTTCAAACTTCAAATACTAGAACAAAAGATTCTGGAAATTTAAATTTGAGAGGCAACATCTTATCATCATTTAAACTTTTGAGCGGAAAAAGTAAGAGACAGGCAACTATATGGCACAGGGACAATGGAGTTGAAGTTGGTGAAAAGAAGTTACAGAAGGACGATTTTTTTGATGAATATCTCAATCAAATACTTGTTGGTCACTTTAACAACTAATTTTTTAACATTTTATGTTTATTTTATGGGAATATTTCAATGCTTGGTATTAACTATTTGTAACGTTTTGTAAAATAAAAAGTAAATTTGTATTATATTATATTTGTGGTTTTTTTTAAATTAGTTCCACAAAAAAAAGTTTTAATTGAAAAGTTGTTTTTGATGCATATTTTTTGTGGCAATTAATTGCATTGAATTTTTTTGTAATTAAAGTGTTAAATTAAATAATTATTTAGGCTCTGAATGCTTACATGAGTTATCGACAGGAGACGATGACTCTGGCACGCCTGAGACACCCATGTCTGATATCTCTTATTGGTGCTTATGTACTTTCTCTATCTTACGTGATGGAATTATCTCCCCTAGGATCGTTAAGATCTGTTATTGATGAAAAGTGGAATGAAATTAGGTTTACTGTTAAATACAAAATGCTTACTGAGGTTTGTAGTTTAATTTTACTAGAAAAATTAAATAAAATTTGTAAGAACAAAATTAATAAATCAAAACTACTAGATTGTGTTGGCCTTGAAGTATTTACACGAACAAAATCTTGTCTATAAGGACATGAAACCCGAAAACTTACTTGTTTTCTCTTTAACTAAAGACGATGCTGTTTGCCTAAAGTTGTCTGATTATGGACTAACAAGAAGGTTGTGAACAAAATTTTTTACTTTTAACATCTGTGAGTAATTCAATCAACTGGTTTAGTTTTATTTTTGTCTAAAGATTTATAGTGCATCAAATGCTCTTTCATTTAGGTATAAGATTATTTACTTATAAAAAATTATTTATTTATATGAGGACAATGTGACATTGATAAGGAGATCGAGATTGCGGTGGTATGGACATGTGTTAAGAAGGGATGAAAGGGTCGGGATTAGGCGAGCGTTGGAGTTCGAGATTGAAGGAGTGATAGGAAGCGGTTGTCCGCGATTTGGATGGAGAGAGCAGGTGGAGAAGGACGGAGTGAAAGCTGGGTTGCGTGATACTGAGGCGAGTGACAGATGTGGACGGCGTCGAGGGGTATTTCGGTTTCATCATAGGTAGCCAAACGGCAACCCCCGATCTCGGCGAAAATATCGTCTAAACGTGTGTTGTTGTTGTTTGTTGTATAAGATTATTTACTTGAAGGGTTATAAATATCAAGGTATAAGAACTTTCTTTTTGCAAACGTTGAAGATACCAATTTTTTGATGACACTAATGAAAATTTTCAAAACGTTTTTCTTTAATATCTTAATGGACTGTCGAGCCCAACAATGTTAATCTTTTTTTGTCGATCATGTCACGAGTCACTTCACTCCACTTTGCATTGTCATCATTTCATTTATTGGCAAGTCTTCTAACTTTACTTTTCCGAAATCTTTTTGTCGTTAGTGCAGTTTTATTCAAACGTTTTTCCGACAATTTACTGTGTCTTAATGTTTTCAATTTAACTTTCTAGTTCTTAACAATTTTTTGTAGCATTTCATTGCATATGCTTCTAATTTGTTTTTGCTCTTTCTCGTTATCCTTAGGCTTTGTATGCATACATAGGCACAAAGGTTTTTATTACGTATTTTTAAATTTACAATCATTTTTAAAACTTTTTTCTCATGCCTTTTTTCTGCCATTTCATTCTGAGCGGTTATTGATACTAGCTAAAAGTCTGCCCAAGTACGCAGACTGGTCAACTCGTTCAAGATCTTTATCATTTTGTTTGAAGTCCTTCGTTTTGTTTTTTCTGATATGTCAATTTTGTTTTTTTTGCTGATGCGGAACCAGCATCATTCACTATCTCAATTAGCACTGAACACTAGCAAATCAAGATCAGATCAAGTTTTTCTAAAATAGTAAAAATGTTGAGATATGATTATTCATTTTATTTGGTTTCGTTACAATTATATTTAAAATGTGTATAATTCATGGTTTCTGGTTTTTGAAGTAATTTTTTGTAACTTAACAATGTTCAATTTATTTTTTTTTTCAAATGTTCAAATGTTCAAATCCATAATGATTTAAAATTTTTTTTTGAAAAATTGTTATATTTATTAAATTGACAAAAACTGAACTCTAGATTATTTCCCGGTGGATTGAGGGGAATTGAAGGTACTTGTGGGTATCAAGCCCCAGAGATCTGGCTTAGGAAACCTTATAACGAAAAAGTTGGATTTAATCATTTGATAGTTATTATTCTAAAACCATTTATAATGATTCTTAAGACATTAATTGATGAATTTTATCATTTATCATGATTTTAAGGCATTAATTGATGAATTTTACTAGGATATTATATATAACTGGTGTTTAAATTAATAATTTAATTCTTTATCGATAGTATTTTATGTTTTTTCTATTACTCGGAGATGTCGCTTGTTTATTTCTGTATCTTTTTTTATTTAGTACGATTGCGTCTGGTCTAATGACAATATTATGTAATTTACTGTTAATCAATTGATACATACGTGATGATTATTTGGTTAATTTTATTATTTCTTTTTGCTTATGTCAAGTTTTGTTTACATTTTTGAGTTTTATAAATTTTTGTTTGGCAGGGGCTCTGCCCGAGCTGATTTGTATAATAATAATAATGCCAACTTTTTTATTTCTTCAAAAGCCAATATATAAATAAAAATTACAATTAACTATAAAATGATCAATTATTATAATAGTTAAAAGATTAAATAATGGATAATTTAACATCAATGCTCGTCATTATGAATGTGTACAAATAATATAAAAACTAGAGTCAAGCTTTATTTCTGTCACAATATATTGCGTAAGTAGATGCTATCGCAGAATTGATTAAGCTAGATCTAAAATCGTCACGCCAGTTTATTTTAGTTTGAGATAAATTGAAAGAATTATAAAGTTATTGCGAAATTTCAAAAGAGTTGATTAAAATATTGCAATTGTTAAAATCATTCGATAGGTTATTTTTGAAGTTGTTCTTGTACTTATCCACTAGGTAGTTTCTTGATTTGGTGTAATTGGTTTTATGACAGACTGTTAATTCCAGTATTTCAATCGTTTTTTTGTACAAGATTGCTATGTCTGGTCTGAGCGAGGTAAACAGTTGCGACACAGGGCGGATCGATTCTTTTTCGATATCCGCAAAAATGATTGCTCCAGGCTCGATAATAATAACAATAATAATAATAATGAGAACATCTTTTTATTTTCATTTTAAAACATACATTGTAATTATGAAGTTAAATTAATAAAACTTATAATGTTAATTATATAGATAATCTACAATGCCCGCCATACATTTTAAATGGGCACAAAGAGAAATAGAATCAGCATTAACAACAACAACACACGTTTAGACAACATTGACTGCCTATGATGAAACGGAAATACCCCTCGACGCCATTCACATCTGTCACTCGCCTCAGTATCACGCAACCCCGTTTTCACTCTGTCTTACTCCACCTGCTCTAACCCTAACCTGCTCTCTCCATCTAAATCGCGGACGACCCTTTCCTATCACTCCTTCAACCTCGCCTAATCCCGACCCTTTCATCCCTTCTTAACACATGTCCATACCACCGCAATCTCGATCTCCTTATCTCCATATGAATAAATAATTTTATATAAGTAAATAATCTTATACCTAAATGAAAAAGCATTTGACAAAAATCTTTAGACAAAAATAAAACCAAACCAGTAGATTGAATTACTCACAGATGTTAAAAGTTTAAAAAGATAAAAAAATTTTGAATTACAAATTTTAAATTAGGGTGTGAAGAAGGGACATGATGTGGAAAGCGGAGTCTGAGTATAGGAAGGCTAAGAATTTAAAAAAAGATTGAATTACTCACAGATGTTAAAAGATGTTAAAAAAATAAAAAATTTTGTTCACAACCTTCTTGTTAGTCCATAATCAGACTTTAGGCATACAGCATCATCTTCACTCTGTCCATCTCCACCTGCTCTCTCCATCCCAATCGCGGACAACCCCGCGAACTATGCCCAACTTGCCAGATCCATCCCAAACATATCCATTCCATATAACATCTTTCCTATCCCTCATTGACTGCTTTGCTACTTTAAACATTTTCCTCGAACTCACATCAAATTCCATTTCCCTCATTAACCTATCTGATGCTTTCGTCATTGCAGTTGCCACTGCCCGTTTTGCAACCTTCTTAGCCTTCCTATACTCAGACTCCGCTTTTCCCGTCATGTCCCTTCTTCACACCCTAAACCTCCCCTTCTTGACCTCCAAAACTTTTCTTATATCTTCATCCCACCACCACGTCTCACCATGCCTACACTTTCCTTTCGTCCATCCACATACTTTGTCTGCCGTAGCAAACACACAGTCCCTATATCTCTCCCAAACATATCCATCCTTACCACTCTCCCAACTTTCAGCCACCTTCACTTCAAATGCCTTCCTCACCTTTGCATCCTGTAACTTCCATGTTTTTCTCTTTGCCACACTTATCCATTTTTTGCCTCCCCATTTCTTTTGATACATCCATCACAACCATACCATGCTGCAACATACCAGGTATCGCCTTCACATTCCTTACATACTTTTTATGCTTCGCCCTTACCAATATATAATCTATCATTGACCTATTTTCTCCTGACCTATACGTAATTAATCGTGCTGGTTCCCTTGTAAACCAGGTATTCCCCATCACCATGCTATGTGCATCCGCCAACTCCAACACTCTACACCCTTTCTCATTACGTATACCATATCCCCATCCCCGATGTACACCTTCATATCCGTCTGCATCCGCCTTCACATGACCATTTAAATCACCCAACAACACCACAAACTCATCCAACCCCGCTTGCCCAATCTCGTCAGAGACATCATCATAAAATCTATCCTTCTCTTCCTTCCTAATTTGTTGCGGAGCATATCCTGATATTACCCTCACTATTACTTTTCCAAACACCATCATCACCACAATTACACCATTGCTTTTCCGCCTCACTTTTAACACCTTCTCCACCAACTCTTCTCTTACCATCACAATAACTCCTCCCGTACCATCATCCCCCTTCCATCACAACTTATACCTTCCACCTTTAGCCCCCATAAACCTTGTACCTTCTCCCTTCCATCTGATCTCCTGTAATGCAGCCACGTCAACCATTCTCCTCTGTAATTCCTCCACCTTTTCCAAACTTCTTCCTGTCAACGTGCCTACATTCCAGGTACCAAACCTCCAACCCCTTGGTCTACAAGTAATCCTTCCATTCATAGTGCCTTGCACCGCCAGACTATAGAGTGGGGTGCCAGTAGCCAGACCATCCACAGGGCCTTGCACCGCAACTCCATGGACTGGGTCTTCGGTGATTCTTCGCACCCTCTTCTGCCGGATACTGAGGGCCATTGTTACTTTTGTCATCTTTTGTCATCATAAATATTTTATTGGCTAATTTTTACGCAGGACGCCCTTCCTTACGCAACCACAGTTATAAGCGGTGGTCCTAGCCTTTGATGATCCAACATCACTGACAAGGCAGTGAGTGTCAGTTTAATGTCATAACCAGGACATAGAATCAGCATTAAATTATGTTCAAATCGTGTTCCTATCACAGTAAATTGCGGAATTAATTAAACTTCTATGAAAAAGGTCAGACCAAATAAAGTTAATTAATGATAGTTTAAAATATGTAAAAAACCTAGCGGGAAAATTTCAATATTTTTCAAATAGTTTTTCAATTCGTCTATCAAATTGTTATTTAGATTTTGAAAGTATTTTGATGTTTAATATTCTTTAGATTTAGAAAAGTTAGATTCATGGCAAACTGTTAATTCCAGTATTTCAATAGTATCACCTCGTCGAATGGCAATATCTGGACGAAGTGATTTGAATAGAGATGATACAGGAAGGTATTTGCTGCAGTTGGAATCTGCGTAGTTCAATACATCCGCACCAGCAAATGATTGAATTTTTCCTAAAATTATCGATAGTATATTGTTGTGACGTGTTGTATATCTTTTCAGGGACGAAATCGAACTGCAGTTTGACAACACATGCTTGTTAGTTTGACGAGCCTGACATAGTGGACACAGAGCATTTGGCATCTTGCCCCAGCGATAGAGGTTGGCGTTTGTTGGAAGTTGTTAAATGAGAGCCTTCCTGACAAATTTGAATAAAACCTATGGTAGACTTATTGTGAACTTCGACCATTGACTCATGTGGATTTCTGGAATATGATCTTTAATCGCTTTAACTAACATACCATGACATTGAAGTGATGATAGATGAACATAGTCGGACTTTTGTTGACCCGCCAATAGTGCTTTGAGTGTTGGTTTTATTTCAGCTGATTCAGGAAGGATGTTGTCTATTTTGATGTAACTATTGAAAGATTCTTTATGTAGACACCTATTATCTTCATTGGCATGCGTTTTGAGGTAACTTCGAAGTTTGACTCTTAACGCTTCTGCGTAACTCTTCAATGACCTGATATTCAATCCTCCTCATTTAAAAAGGAGTGACAGATACTCCGACACGCAGCTGCTAATTGGCAGGGCCAACCAGTTTCTAACCAATTCAGCAATCAATGGATCCAGATTGTTGCTTATCCAAGTCAACGGAATGTCATAAATGCGAAGTTCGAATGCCAACTGGGATGGGATGTATTGCCTTAATATTTGCAAATTCCCTTTATAACCGACAACATGAGTTTATCGATAAGCAACTTTTTTTGCCCTTGAGTCGCGTCCTTCAAAGTTGTGAATTTTTCCCAGGTATTCGAAACGACCATTAAGTTCAACGTCAGGTATTGCTTTATCATTGATGGCCAACCTTGGGAGAAACTGTTTGTATATGTATATGCCATTTCTCTTTCTCATGCCAAAGGCGCGGCATGAGGGTTGACAAATGCCGGTTGTTGGCAATGATGGCCGTGTCGTCGGCAAACTGAAGCCAAGCTCTGGTTTTTAGATTGGTTGTGGGTCCCCATATATATCCACACTGTTGAAATTCTTTTTTTTCAATTAGTTTCATCAACGGATTGAAACACAGATTAAACAGCAGAGGGGGAACGGGATCCCCTTGCAGGACCCCACGTTTAACCGGAATGGGAGAAGTTAAGCTTTCGCAACCAGAGACAGAGATTAAATAATCGGCATAAATATAATTAATTAAATTTTTAATTTGAAGAGGAATGTGATGATAATCTAGCGTTGAAGAAATGAGATTATGGCTGACTTCTCCAAATGCGTTACGAAGATCCAAGATCGTGACGATGATGGTACGTTGGTGTCTCATAGCATCTGTGTTGCAAGGTATTTTCGGCGTTGAGAGTTTTGGGATCCAGTTTGGCAGCTGTTGCTTGTTGTTGTGAGTGTCGCTTTGGATGGAGTGAAAGTAGTTTTTGCAGATGGCGACGTTGTATGATAGGGTCAAACTTGTAGTTGAATTAAAAACTTTGCAAAACCACCAAAATCGACGTTTGAGTTAGCTTTTTGTGTTGTGTCGTTTAGTTGAGTCGGAAGATTTTGATGACGATAACTTCGATCTCATCGTTTTGCTAACCGACTTTATTTGGTTGTCGAAATGATGGTTATATCGGCCCAAAAATTTAAGTTGTTTTAATTCTTTTTTTCAACAGCTTTATTGACTTTTTGTACATCCGTCCGGTTTAATTTTATTGTTGATGGTACGAAGTTGGAGGCAAAGTAGTTGTTGATCATGGTTTGGAATCCGATTGTAGATTCATTCAAATTGGTGAGATTTGGTAGCGTTGATTGATGAAGTTAAAAATACGCGTTGGCCTCAAGCCATTGAGCAGGGTTTCGTGGAAGTCTGATTCCAAGGAGAGGCATTTCAGTGTTTTCAACATTTTGTAGTGTCTGGTGGCTTGATGTCGTAGGTTGTTGTTGAACATCCGACGATGGCGAAGGTGATGGCGACTTCGGGGTTGATGTTACGACGGCGTTTTCCTCATCGTTAGTTAATTGAAGTTGTTTATGTGTTTTGCACGAACGTTGGTGCATTTTTAATCCCTTGCGACTTTTGCAGAACCTTCCGCAGCAACATTGAATTAAATTGTTATTGTCCATATTGACAGAATAATTATTGGCAGTATTTGAGTTGAAAATGTTGGCAGAAATATCCACATTTGAGTTTGCAGGCGTGTGTACAGTGCTAACGTTAAAATTAGCTGTATTTTTCGTGCGACGCCAGGAGTGTCTGCCAACATTAATAGACGATTTATTGCAATATTCGCATTTAGTAGCTCTAATTTTAGAAATTATGTTTAAAATTAATATAAAATGTAATAAAATGGGATTTTCATAAAAACAGCCATATTTCCTGCAATTTTACAAACAATAAGAACCTAATTTAAAACTGTTTAAAGACATTAAAATCGAAATTATGTATAAAAACAGTGAGCTGAAACATTTCTGCCAACTCTCGTGCCAACATACATAATAATAATAATTATAATAATAATAATCCGACGGACTCCTGGTAGATACCAGCAAAAGTAACTGAGGAAAATAACAACAACAATAATAATAATAATAATGATAATAATAATAATGATTGCTTAATAAAATACTTTAGTTTAACCTTCTAACAACCTAATCAAATGTAATAAAATAAAATGAATAGAAGTTTAATAATCATATTTTTTTCGCATATTTACTCGTTATTATTGTTATATAAATTATTCCTTATAATTGCTGTTGTTGAAAAAATTGTAGGTAGACATATTTGGATTCGCCATGGTAGCGTACGAGTTGATGGAAGGAGACAGGTCATTTTTCACAAATGCATCTGTCATCATCAACAAACTTATACTGCAAGGGAAAAGACCCAAAGTAATTATTATTGCAAAATTTGCAAAGTTGCTGCTATATAAATGTTAATGATTGTCTTATTGGCAAAATAACAAGAATCAACAGAAGGATATTTACAAAAACGCAAAAAAAGCAAGGATTTATCGAGCTTTTTACATGACCTCATTTGTTTTCAAGAATGACTATGAAAAGAAATTTCGTTAATTTATGACAGAAAATTTTGACAGAATAATAAAGCATAATGTTTTTGGTATGCCTATGCGATGCGTGGCAGACCGGGGACAATGCTTGATTTAGTAAAACAAACATGATGACATTTTGGACGATGTATAAACAAACGTACAACTGCTTGCAGGTTGTCAGAATCGGATATAAATTTTTCCGACTCTGATAAAAAAAATCCGACTGCGAGTTTCGACCCCAAGAAAAGATTTTCAACTTTTGCTTCATAGTTTTAATTAAATAAAAAATATTTAAAAGACTTATTTAAAAAATTATGTTATTGTCCTTCTCTGTAAAATTACTTTATATTTATGTTTTTGAAACATACTAAAGGATATTAGGTGATTTTATTAAAATTATTAGCATTTGTTTTAGTATTAAAGATGATTGCATATCGCAACATTTAAAAAAAATGACCTTTAACAAAATATTTTTAGACTAAAAAAATAAAGAAATTAGCAAAAATTCTTAACACATTTCGGAGTGGGATGAAAAGTATCCGACTCCCCAAATATATATATATATATATATATATATATATATATATAAATATATATATATATATATATATATATATAATATAATAATAATATTCAAGACTTTTCTCTTAAGTTAAATAATAATATTCTTTGAAAATGTAGCACAATTAAATTTTTAAGTAATCTGTCATGGTCGTTACATAATTTGGAAATTAGAAAAAAAATTCAGTTTTTTATGTATTTTAAATAAATTAAAACATAAATTTAATTTCGTTAGCAAAATTAATCTATACTATAGTTTTATTTTTCCTCATCTAATTTATTGTAATATAATCTGGGGAAATGGTCCTGAAACAAGTCGAGCTTTAGCTCTTATTTGTTTGTCAAAAACGCTTTATTAGGATTATATTTAATTTAAAACAAACCGATCATATCAAAGAACTTCTTGCTAAGACTAAAATTCTATCAATTTATCAAATAAATTTCTATTTCCAAACATTATTTACTTTTAAATTCTTAAGAAATCTTTTACCTCCATATTATTCAGAATTCTTTCATTATTCAAATCCATATAAATCAATTATTACAAGGCAAAATGATACTTTCTATATAAAAACATCTAGATAAATTTGGGCAACAATTGTATATCTCATACAGCCCCTAAATTATGGAACAGTGTGATTCCCTTCAACATTAAAAACATCGATAATCTGGCATCATTTTAAAAAGAATCTCAAAATTTTTGCTTGTATTAATAAACCTCCATGAATCCTTGTGCTAACGGACTATCCTAACGGGCATTTTTCGTTACTCTGATTATTTACGTTTTGTATGCATATTCTTCATCAATTTGCCATCTACGTTAATATCTTAGAAAAATCTTTGTAATTGTACAATTGCTGGTAAATTGTGAGAGAAAATGTTTTTGTATACTTCTGCAAAAGTTTGATCATAGTTGTTTTCTCATTGAATCATTGTAGAACATTTTTAGTTAATAAACTATTACGAGTTTTTTCTGTTTATTTTGTATCTTTGAAGAAAATAAACAATAAACAATATATATGTATGTATGTTTATATAAAATTGCTTTCGAATAACCTGATTTATTAATCTAAAATAGAAAATCCAAATGAGTGAATAAAGAACATAAATAAAATCAATCGAAACAATATGAACTATTACAGAAATTATAAATGAATAACCAACCTAAAATAGAAAAATTAATATCCAGGATCGTTTACAAAGCCAACAATAATAAAATAGAACCACGTGCAATAATAAAATATAACCACGTGCTATTTGCATTTATATATAAGATGACAGCTTCCACGTTTTGATTCTTTGAGGCATTTATATATAAATTATATAAATATATATAAAACATTATTCTAAGTTATTATAGTAGACGACAATTTATAAAAAAAAATATATATACATAACGTAAAAGTCAGAGTAATGAAAAATACACACGATCATACGTACACACTTACTTATTTAACCATATATATATGTAAATTATATTTCATATAATTATCTATGTATTTCTATTCTGTGCTTGTAAATTAGGTTACATCTTTGAAGAAAATAAACAATAAACAATATATATGTATGTATGTTTATATAAAATTGCTTTCGAATAACCTGATTTATTAATCTAAAATAGAAAATCCAAATGAG